AGGCGAGGAATAGAAGAAAGTTACGAAGCGTTGTTTGAGTTGATACACTCCTTCGATCGAGGCCATTGGTGGTTGAGAAGGCTGGCTTGAGGAAGTGGCATCCCTCGATATCAAAATATCGAGGATCGAGAAGAGGTCTTCCTCGATGGCGGCTCGATATTCGGCACACTTGGTGGAAGTAGGCTCGGTCGGCATAGGCAACGTGGGCGAAATCAACCCAACCGCGAGGCATCGAGAATAGGTGAGAACCCATTTGCTCTGTGGTAGTAGGAGTCGGGAGTCCGGGATTTGAGCCAGTGGGAATAATTGCGAAAAAGAAAACAAGTTGAAAAGATAAGTCAGAGAGTTAAATAAAGGATGAAATGAAGAATCCAATGATGAAAGCATAAAGGGAAAATACCAGGTGGAGGAAGAGCAAGCGGCATTGAGACGGGTGGGAGAGTACGTACGGTCTCGACTTGCTGTAAATCGAAACGTTTGATTAGAGAAGGAAATATATAGACATACAAAGAGACACATACACAAGTAAAAAAAAAAAAAGGAATTATACCTCGGGGATCGGTGTTGAAGGTTGAAGTCGAGTTTCGACGAGTTGTCGATATAGTCGCCGATGGATTATCCTAAAAAATTCATCGAAAATGTGAGTCATGATACAAGTCTTATCAAAATCTAAGACATGGAGGTTATATAAAAAAGGAAACTCACGTGACTAGAATGGGTGACGGGTGTTGTTTGACCCGTGGAGGGAACGGTGTTAGAATCCATCGATAATGGATCCGCTGTGGATGGTTGGACTGATCGTGGACTCTTCGATTTTTTCTGTAGGTTAGAAATCGAAAAGAGGTATGAGAATCCAGAGGGAAACATGTTATAACAGAAAAGTGAATAAAGCAAAAAGAGATCGAAAAGAACCTTCGATTTTTTCGAAGACGAAGTGGTGGTGGTGGCCGATTGTTTTCACTTTACGGTGAAGGCGGAGGGTCCGATTCCTCCGGGGACTCCCGGTCCGCTTCTCTCCCTCCTCTTGCGCCTCTTCGAAAGCGACTACCTTAGTAGATTTGGAAACTGTCGAGAAATGAAGAAAGTTAGTCTCCAACGCACCAAATTAAAAATCATGAAAAAAACAGTAAAACCTCACCAAAAGGTGATGGAGTCAAAATTTTGACTCGATCGATATGAATTAGCCAAGGAGGCAGGAGACTCTCGGGGAGGTGAAGGTAAGGGAAATAAAACAATCTCGATGCGGTAATGTCCTTGTTTTTGGGTTTTGGGCGAAGTGTTTCTTTTAGGGATCTCAACTCTCGAACCCACTTGGGATGAGTTAGAGGTTTGGCAAGCCCAAAAGGGGCTGTAGGGAAAGTAGGGAGTCGACTGGGACAATACATTTCAAAAGAGGTTTTCCCTAAAGGATCGATTATTTTGTGGTTTGATCGATTGACAGTTGTTTTATGGGACAGGGAAATGACAGCGTCATAGAAGGTCGATTCTAGTTTTAGTGGGGTATAACATATTTGATAAAAATTCTCGAATCGAGATATTTGGAGACAGTGGAAGTGTGTACCTTTCTTCGCCTTCGATTTGTCCTGCAACACAAGAGAAGGATGAGCAGTCAGTTTTTGACGAACTTCATCGAAGGTAGCATGACTACTCGAGAACCATTTGGCCCACCATCGAGAGAAACCCACAGTGGACAAATAATTTGACTCAAAAGCATAAGGAAAAAAGTGCATCGGGGTTTTGGGTAAAAGCGTGACGAACTCCCGACTAATGGTGGATTCAGTTAACTTGGACTTTCAGGGGGTATCAAGGGAAAAGAAAGGCAAAGACTGGCTCAGACCAAACTGTCTCGAAAAAAGCTGGGGATAGTAAGTTATAAATTTAAAATCTTTAGCCTGAAAACCCGACACCAATATGTCATGGGTCAAATAATTGCTCCATACATCAATCAGTTCTGATTGCAACCCAGGAGTCGAGGCAGGAAATTTTGATTTAAACCAAATCGGCCCCCTAAGTTGGCCACTTGCTCGTCCAAGATTTACAGTAAATGGGGCCAAGGTTGAGTCGAAAGTGAATCTGGTTAACAAAAAATGAAGGTATTTACAGTAGGTAGCTTCATCAGACTTATGGCGAGGGTGACGAGAGGATAATCGGGCCCTTCTATATTTACACTCGGGGGACGGAAGAAATTCGAGGAAGGACACTCTCAAAAATCGAAGTGAGTCACAAGCTGTACAAACCAAACGGGGCTGAAAAGTTCCCAGACGCTTTAGGTGTGTTCAAAATTTCGACGGCCTCGTCGAAAGTAGCATACACATGAGCTAGTAGCGACTTAGCCAAACATATCCTAGGCTGGCCTATGTGCGGGACATATGCAAGGTCAAACAAATGAGAGGAGATTTGGATGGATCGGGGGCAAAATACATGGGTGCATAGCCAATACACCAAAAATGCTACATGCTCTTCATCGATACTGGCTATCGAAGGGTCATCAACAAAATGTTTCTCGATGAAATGTTCGTAAGCCTTCGATTCCCAATCGATTTTGGACCTCAAAGAACTACTCGAAGGACATGCACCTTTAAAATACTTCTCCCCTATGGGCTTCGACCCGATAATAGCCGCAATCTCGAAAAGGGTAGGCGACGGAGGGCCACAAGGCAACTCCAAAGCATGTAGGTCCTTGTTCCATAAATGCACCGCAGACAAAAACATCGCCATGTCCAAAAATGATAGATCGCATTGAGACGGATGCAAAAAGTCAAAAATTCCTATATCCCTCCAATGGTTCCCAAACTTGGCTTTTACCCTATCAAACCACCTAATGAATTGAGGCTTTTTGGAAGGAGGGCCCGTTCTATACACTTTAGAGGTAAGATTCGGAAAATCAACCCTAACTTCGGGTTGATGAACCAAAGCCGGACTAGTTGAGAGGTTAAGAGGAGTAAAAATTTCATCAATAGGACGGAGAGGACCCCCAAAAGCAAAATTTACCCCCTCAGCAGTATAAGGAATAAGTACCTGCGTCTCAGCAATCTTGCGGGAAGCCTCCTCCATCAGAGGAACTGGAGCGAACCTCTGGTTGTTGATCTCCAGCAGGTTAGAGGGTAGTGAAGAAAGGGGTGGAACGGAAAAGTCAGAAGATTTTGATGAGCTGGCCATTGTAGTGAGCTTAGGAAAACAGAAAGGGAAGAGTTAACGGATGAGGTAACAGGGACGAAGGCAGGAGCTCAAAGGAGAAGATGAGATTGCAAAGAGGGTGATAGTTCGCGTAAAGACCAGAGTAAAGACCAAGGAAAAGTTAAAGGGAAATCGTCTAGGGAGTTGGAAGCGACGGGAGGGAAAGGTAATTAATGTAACTTGTACTGAAAGGCAACAGACTGACGAGACGACGACGTAAAGTGGAAAAGAAACCTAAAACCCCTTTTTAACCCTAGAACCCCAGAAACCCTAAACCCTAAATCCTGTGGGCTTTCAAACACTAAGGCGGGAATATTGAAAGAATATAAAACAGAAATCATTTATATTCTTCCAAGGGGGCATTTTGTTAGTAGAAAATCGAGAAAAGTGATCGAAAATGAAGGAAAGGAAAGAGAGAACACGTGACTGATAAAAAAACCATTCGATGTCTAAAGCACGTAACACAACATCAGGAAGTACAATCGAGAATTGGAGAAACAATAGTCAAAAGTTTATTGTGGAACAAATCAATAAATTAGAAGTATATGATGCTAAGGTAAAAAAGGGATCAAAAATAAATCCAAAGTTCTCGATGAAATCGAAGTCTAAATCGAAAAAGAGGTTAACCCACATAAAATCAAAATCGTGACCAAGAGGAGTTAAACACGCATATAGGAAACAGTTTCTAAATCGTGGCAGAAGTCGGAGATCGTAAGAACGTGGAAAACTATAGAAGATAAACTGCCATACGCACGTAGAACGTGGTAGCAGTCGTGTTAACTGCTCTTGGAAGGCTTGAAGGATGCCCTATAAATAGAGCAAAGGAGGAAGGAACGGGAAGCAGAAATTGGCAGAGAACAGAATCAGTAGTGAAAAAGTCTACCGGAGAAACGACGAACACCATGAAGTTTACGGCAATCTGGATTTCCTTGCTCACTGAGTACATTTACCGCTTCGTATTTTCCTTGGTAATTTATTTTGATGCAACTTAAATTCAGCAGTTTTATGTTTCTGTATTTTCGATTCCTTGTCCATTTCAATTCAATGAAAATTTAAGTTTACGCATTTAAGTTTCCATATTATTTAATATTCTGCAAATCTCGATTTCCTGTCATTTACTTTTCTTGTAATCTCGATTTCTTGTCATTTATATTTGCACTATTTTCGATTCCTCGTCATTTACAATTGATGCAAATTTGGATTTTCGCTCTTTACATTTTCTTGCAATTTAACATTGTTTCTTGATTCGATACTTTTACTGCTTTCGATACTTTAAATACAAAATACCAAAAACAGCTTTCTTGATCCCTGTAATTTTCGATTCTCATACACGTTTTCGATTGAAAGTCAGACTGCTAGCCTAAGTAAAAAGAGCTTACGTAGGAGGATTTCGATTAAAGACCAAAATACCCTTAGAATCGAAATCGATCGAAATTTCACCAGAAACACTAAGCAATGTGAATTTTCAAATGGTAACTTCAAGGAAAAGATATATCCAAAACTGAAAATACCATACAACATTTCAATATCTCAGATGAAAGGATCCAAATTCCTCCCACATTCATCTTTTTTTCGCAAAATTGGTCCCCAAAAGAAAAACCTAACATGGTTCCTTTGCAGACATAAAATTCAGTTGTGTTTCAGCATACATATAGATATATATATATATACACACCCCACCTTAGTCAGGCACACTTGTGCAACTTGAACAAAACATCCCTGACACTGGAGTAGCAAATGCTAAACAACACCATGGAATATCAAATTGCAGGAGAAGACAGAGGATGAAACAAAAACCGTTCCCTATCTTAAAACAATGCAAATTACAATGGCAAAAGCATCACAGGACAGGGAATGAACTCAGCAAGCAAATTTGCATCTATATGCTTTGTATGAATTGCTTCCATGCTAATAACTACCAAATCCAAATTAAGGTCATCAGCAACATCACCAATGATAGCAGTTGGCTTGCTCCCTTCACCAAGCCGCTCTAGCAAGTTATAGTCCTTCAATCCACCTGTATTTTTTATCATGAAACACAAAAACAAGTAGATTGAACGATAATTGGCAACGATCCTTCATTTTAGTCCAACTGTTTGGCATGAATATGTCATTAAAATTGATAAGAATAAGACTCCAAGATCCCTATTATTATAATGACTTCAATCTACATGAAACTCTTATACTAGCAGTCCTGTATATACAATATAATCTTAGATGAAGTGTTAAAAAATTGCGCAGTCAAAATCCAAATTTTAAGAAAGACTGTTTACAACAATTCTGATAAAGTAGTCATTGCATATAAACACAAATCACCAATACATGACAAACTTGCATTCAAAAAACATTCAAAGAAAATAATCATGCTGTGAAGGGTAAATTTTCAGAGAGACCATTCAGAAGTCATCGCATAAAAACAAAAACCACCTGTGTTTAACAAACTTCCCATACGAAACACTGGAACAAAATGATCACGCTGTAAAGGTATGCTCACAGAATAAGAAAACATGGTATGGTATTGTGCCTTGAAGGGTCTCAACAGGCAAAATGTAATAAATTAAACAAAGAAAATAGCTATTACAAACCTTCAGATAGATGCCAACGTATGCTGGATAGTTGAGTCTCATGCTCAGGCAGGGACTCTTTTTGCTGTTCATCAATAACTGCAAAGCATAAAAAGAGCATAAACACCATTTCTTATTATGCTTAGTTACAGCTTATTTCCAAAGAAACAGTATCCGAAGGTGCCAACAAAATCAAGTATTTCCCCAAATAAGTTATAATTCAAACACGTGCCTATAAACCATGCATACAAAATAGTGTATAGAAATTTTCCCTTCATAATTTAACACAACAACCCTTATGCTTGGGAGTGGAAATTTGGAGGAAAAGGGAAGGAAGGGAAAATTTTCCACTTCTAACAAATATTCTCTAATTTTTTTTAGGTAAAAACACACGTATCATTCACCAGGAGTAACCCTATTCAACTTGGATTAAGACCAACATGGACGATGAAACTCTCCTTTTAAGTATTTAACACAAACGTTATATAAATCTTTTAATTCAAAAGGGAAAATTTATCCTCATTTTTCTTTCTCTTCAAATCCAACCGGAGGTATGCACACACACATGCTAAGTTACAATAACATACCGACAACTGTAATGTCAGCTCCATACTTCTTAGCTAAAGCAGAGGTGGTTGCAATAGCCTAATAAAAACACAACAACCCCAAGTTAGTGTTTGATGAATAAATGCATAAATTAAGCCAAGGCCAACCGAACTGAAGTGCATCACCGAGACCCACTTGTCTTGTACCCTCAGAGAGATAGGGACTCCTATCAGTAATGGGCAAAAGAAGATGCTTGAATTCTGTGAAAGCATCACTGGCCACACTGACTTCAGGTTCCTGCGGCTTAGCCTTGGCTGAACCGAAAGCAAATGCCGAAATTAGAGAATTTTAGAAAGAAAAAGAAAAAACAAACAAAATGAAAAATTCTACCTTTGTGACCGATCCTGCGAAGCCTGGCGAATAGTGAGAGTTTGTGAGTTTTGGGGCGGAGAGTGGCAGAGAGGTTTAAACAGTGTGAGGAAATCGACAAAGGTGGGTTCGATGTGGGAGGTTTTGGGAAGTTGGGGGAGGGTTCAACGGGAACTGCGAGCAGGTAATGAGCGAACGCCATGAAATGGAAGAAGGAGAAGGTGGTGGTGGTGCCAAGTTCGCGGTTGAGTGCAGATTGGGGTTGGTTCCAGAAAAAGGAGACGACAACAACATTGTAATGGTAAATTATAAATTAAAGTTAATGAAATTAAATAAAAGAAGAGACTGATAGCGTGGATGTGAGGTACATGGAGAAACGTGTACCGGCGCCCTATGCTCTCGCCACCTGTTATCATGGTCACCACCAGAACACTCCATTAAATTGTGTCCCCTTCCGGTTATTGTTTAGGGAATCCAAAATATTTTTTTATTTATTGAAATTTATATTAGAAATTATAGAAAAAGTTTATGTTAACAGTATTATTTAGTGATTTTCTTCATTGGTTAAAATATTGTAAATTTTCTAAAATATTAAATACCCTTTCAAACAAAATCATTACAAAAATATAAACGATATGAATGACCATCTTAAAAAATTAATTACATACATGATCAAAATAAATAAAAATAATTTCTAATTATAAATTTGGCAACCGTAGTTTAAAATAATTTTTTTATCGTCCTTATTAATAAAAACCTAATTTTAAAAAATAACCGAAATGAATAAAATACAAAATACTTTTGAGAAGTGTGTTAAGTATTTTAAAAAAATTAAATGAATATAAAATATAGTACGAAGAAGGAGAGAATTAAATCATGAAAATATTAAATTAACAAAGTTAACTCAATCAATATTTGTTGTTAGACTAGCATATTTTTTACTTAGATAAAATAATTTCTTAATCAATGCTATTTTCCTTTTTTAACTAACACTCTGGACTGGGGAAAAACATTTTTTAGAGTAGGTTTTGCTCAAAATGTTTTAAAGACTAGGCAGTGAAGAAATGTTCTATAAGTTTCATCCAACTAATTGACTTAAGATCATGAATAATTGGTGAAGACATTGTTTCGAGTTTCTTAACATTCAAAGTAAATATAATATCATAACATTACAACAGTAAAAATAAAAATTGAAATTCATTATTCGACAGGTTTGGTTGAAATGGTTCTACCTTTGTGACCGATTCTGGGTGATTTGGTTCTACCAAATCAAGAGTTCACGGTATAAAAAAGAACTAAAATTTACCAAGTTTCATCTATGTCGGGTACTTATATACAAGCCCATCAGAGACTATACTATGGCTGGAGAAAAGGAAGTAAAAATGTTTCTCGTGTAATAAAGTAAACAAAGGAAAAAAGGAAAACACTACTACTTTGAATAATACATGATGAAATGGAGTGAGGAAAGGGTCAAAAAATGAGTAAAAGTGAAAAAAGGAGCAGGATGAACGTAAAAGTAGGTTTAATGATGCATGATCGATTAGGTGGGTTAATAGATGGGTTGGATGTAGCCACGGGATCCACAGCTATAGCAGGAGAAACAACAGGAGAGTGCGATGGGTGGTTAATTGGTGGTGTATTTGAGAGCTCATCATCAGAACCTGACAGGACCAAAGAGCATTATTTAACAACACTGTGGAAGAGCTATAAATTATGTCCACTTCTAATGTTGAAGAGGTAAAATATACTCACAGTTAGTTTCTTTCCAACCAAGATTCATCTTGTCACGATCGAATACTATTTTGTAACCAGTCATGAAGTTTTCTGCATTAAGATAAATATAATTCATGTTGCAAGCTTGCATGAATGGTTTTTTATGATTTCATTATACATAATGTTTACATGATTCTTTTTTTTTTTGTACCTCATAAATTTCCTCATTTTATACATTATATATCATTAACAATTTCTTAACCCATTTTCTTCCTCGCTAGTTTATTAACTGGTAAATTGGACAGACACGTAATCTTTTACTTTTGTTTCTTAATAAATTTTTCACATTTTTCTTTTCGTCTTCAATATATTTTTTGTTTCTATTTTCACACCTTAAAATTTTTACTTCTATTTTGATTCTTGCTGTTTATGTAGTGTTGAGTTCTACTGAATATGTCAAACTAGGTTGACCACTGTATGTTTTAAAGGAAAAAAAAAATCAATTTTGATGGAATTCAAAAATTAATCACTTTAAATATGGTTTCCATTCCTATTTCTTTTTTTTCTTTTTTTTAACGGTGAAATTGAAAGAAGATGGAAATGACATGCATAAGAATTTTTTAGGATTTTTCATGGTCAAATAAGGAACACAGAAGGAAAGATAAAAAGGATTTAAACCTTAACAAAAGAAAATAAGTCGATTAAATCAAATTGATTAATGTTTTTATCTTCAAACATAATTTCTTAAAAAGAAAATGAATGATAATTCAGAATGCAAAACTTTATGATGATATATTCTATGAACAAAAAATTCTTCACTTAAATACTCACGTCCAATGATATTCACGCTGTCACTTTTCTGGATTCCCAAACAAATAAGGTATCGCTCCTTCTGCATGTGACGAAAGGAAATGAGATTAAGGTTGAGAATCATTGGATACCATAAAATTGAAAAAAAGATTTTTCTGCTCCCACCTCAGTAGAAACTAGTACTACAGGATTCATGACATAATAATCATCTCCGCCTTTCATCGTTAGATTCACAAAGGGAACTTCGATTGTCTGATTTAAACTGCAGGTAAAGTGGAAATCAGTTTCTAATTGTTCAGAAAGAAAAATAAGTTGATGGGTAATCTCAAACCAATATCACCTTATGCCATAACAATACTCAAAGGGGATGTTCGAATCAGGTGATTCAGAATACCGATTTGCTTTGATTCGTGAGTTGAACTGCAAACAAAATTTTGACAACTTATGGCATGAAACTCCTTAAATCCCATCTTAAAAAAATATGTAGTAGATTACTTACCATCTCAGCGAGTCGAGTATAAGCTGGATCATTTATGTATGTAAAGGAGGTACCAGAGTCAAATATTGCATGAAACTCAAGATCATGAATAAGATCTTCCACAATAATTTGGGTTATGGTGATGTTATACGTTGGACTGCAAGGATTAAGTAAACACTAGTATAGTTAGACACAAGAACTTTTCTTGCTTCTGTTCTATTCTTTTATGAGTGTAAGTGACAGCTTGTTGAGAGGGGAATGCAAGATAATTTCCACTTACTGCAATTTATCAAGGTTGAATGGTGTTTTTCTTTGGTCTGGACTGCCAGTATCACCAAACGTGATTCTTCCAGCACCATCAGATGCAAAACACATTGAAAAGGAATTTGAGATGAGCCCTTCTTTGGCTAGGACGCTAGGAACAGATATATTACGCATTCCAAGTCCAAATAGGCCATTTGGTGCTGCCCCATTTTGAAACAGACCAGTTTGAACTTGGCCACAACTGCAACAGATTAATCAAATCAATACTAAGAATAATGAGAAATACCAAAACCAAATGCTAATTCCAGAAAGCAGTTTCAAAGAAAGAGAATCGAACAAAAGCAACGGTATTTAGATGTTAGTTCAAGAATCAAAGCGAAGGGTATTTTCAAATGTAAACACAGTCAACAGATGTTTTCAGTAAGATGTTGAGTATTTTACCCAAAGATAATTCTTGTGTCAGCATCATTTGCTTGAACATCATCAGTAATTAAGTGCAACACATCCTCTACCAAGAATCCACTAGATGAAGTATCATTTGAAAGATAGTCAACTCGATATCGACAACTGCTGCCAGATGAAGGACACTGTTGTCTTTGTTTACAAAAACTGCTATTGGTGCATGAAACTGTATTGCTTGTGGATGACTTATCAAGATCATACTTATTAAGTTTAAGTATCTGCCACAAGGAAAAAGATAGAAAGCTGATGATGGCTGAGTATGGATTCCATGAGTTTTATTCAGGATTCTTAAAGAAACTATAGAGAAAGGAAAAGTTAATCCATTCAACTGAGAATGATGGAAGTGAAGTTTTATATGTAAGGTCTTCACTTTTATCAAGGGAACAACACAGTAATACAACAAGGATTTTTTCTTTGTAATGTATTTTTTGCGTATTGTAAAAAAAAAAAATCTCTTTTTAATTCTTAAACAGAAGTTCTAAAAACATTGAGCATTCATCATGAAAAAATAATGGCAAATGATTACGGTTATACCAATACCTTTCTTCTTGATGTTACCAAATCGGGCACACAGTTGGTACAATTACAAGGTAACCAAAACAAGTCACTGCCTGTATCTAACGCCACCAGAAACCATAAAGGTGGTGTCCCAACCGAAACATTCGCAAAATGCAAACTGAAATCCAAATAACGAGGAGAAATTATTAGTACACAAAACAGCAACATACAAAATACCGAACAAAACTCATCATGACACTTTTCGTTGTTACCTTAAAAAAGAACACAAAGTGAGAATAAATATTCTTATCTAACCAGGCTTAACTTTTTTCAGATTTAATTATTATTTTCACTTCTATACTTGCCTCCACTTCACTACAGTGAGCTTGTACATAAAAATACAAGTTTTAGTTTTTGGATGAACAAATTTAATGTGTTTTAGTCTCTGTTATCAACCGCTTTTAGAAAGAAAGAAAAAATTGCTCGTTCAGATATTAAAAGTTACAACTATTACATATTGAATTGAGCGAATATGAAAAGAGTAAAGTGTGAAGGAGTATTAAGCATCAAAATAATAATTACACGTTTTCTGCAACTAAAAAAGCCCTTTTGGCATCAGAGTTCACTCTATTAAACATAAAGTGCCAGAAATTTTCAAAAAAAAAATTTTCCAAAGGATCACATGTACACTTTCCCAACACAAATATTCTTCGGTGATCATAAATTGACTCAAAATTCTGATATAAACTGACCCAGAATACTTTTCTTTTGTTACGAAAATACGAGTAATAAGAAAAAAAAAAAAAAAGTTAAAAAATTGACAAGTGGGGGGTGAAGGATTTCATACAATCCAAAGGCAGGAATCTGGTAAGTGTCATTGCCGGCGGCGAAAGTGAGCGGCGTGTGGTGATCGGTGGTGAGTCTCCGGCCCCGGAATATGCGATCTCTGTGGGCCATAGCAGCATAGTATTGAGGACTTCCCTTTTGAGGAACATCACCAGCAATGCCCAGAATCCCCATAACCGGATCCGAGAACCTGTGGTGTATGTCAAACCCAAATGTGCCCGAACCATAACAACTCTCTGAAGCTAAACCCAACACCACCACCACCAACATCACCCATGCCAAACTCACACACCCACAACCCATGAGTTGTTCAAGCTAACACTTTACTATGTGGGTGTGAGGTGGAAAATTATGTGGCGCAGTTTTCCTGCAATATTGTTGTGCTTTTCAGTCTTGAACTTTGGTGCAAAATGTTCAGAGCCAAGACAAGAAAAAAAAAAAAAAAAAGATATGGCTTATGTATGTTTTATGGGTTTTTGACACAAATAAGGGTGTTTGGTCGAGGATTACAATTGTAGTTGTAGGCAAAAGTTTCAACTGTTTAAATGTTTGTTTGTCTACTTGGGATGTCCACACGTAAAATGTGGGTCCTCTTATTATTTCATTCATTCAATTTAATCACTACCTTCGTTTTTTCTTTTTGTTTGTCAAATAGTTAATGCCTCCTTCTCCAATTATGCACTTATTTCTTAGTCTTACTTTCAAACTAAACTTGTACAATTATAAAGGTTATTGTAAATTTTTGCACTAAAACAAACATGTTAATTGCTCTATCTGTCCTAAGATGTCAACGTGCACTTGTAAAGTTCGATTATTAAAATTTAAGAACGAGTTAGAAATTTTATTGAATGTAAAATCTTCTTCCTTAACGTTATTTGGCTAATAATATATAATCATACACTTACTCCATGTTTTAAAAAAAAAAACCCAGCAAGCATAGTTACACCAACCCAAAAATAGTAGTGACATGGTTTTCTATTATTTTTGTCAATTCAAATGAAATATACTAATTTAAAATAACTATAAGTATGCGATTTTTTTTATTATAATTCTTATTATGTAATTAATGTATATCAACACAATACAATAAATTTTGATAAATTGTGTGGTTTCATGGAAACGACTAGATCAAGTCAACATAAGTTCAGTTATCCGTTACGAAATTTATTGCATTAATTAATGATAAGTAGTACAAGTAAAGTTGAAGTCAACCCCCTCACGAGAAAAAAATAGAACTGCTTTCAACCCTTTATATATATACACAACTCAATGTTTATTTTTATCAATATTTTTCATCTAGTGGATAGTTTTTTTTTCTCTTCTTCTGAAGATCTTCTTCATTCTACAACATACACTCATTTGAGTTTTTAATAAAATAAAAATTTTATTTGATTTTTAAAAGACATCTATATCTTTATAATTTTCAATATAAAATATAATTGGATTAAACTTTAATTAAACATTTAAAAAAATAAAATTCAAATTAAAAAAATTTACAAACAAATTGAATGATATAATTATGAGAAAATTGCATCCGCCCTTCTAATATATTTTTAAATAACATTTATACTTTTTCTAATTTTAAAATCCCTTATTTACTTATCTTATGTTATTAACAAAATAAAACTCACATTCTATTTTGTTTTATTTATATTTATACTTCTACCTTTTGATATCATATTAAAAATATATTCAAATATAATAATAAATGTTAATAAATTAAATCCTATGTTTTACAATTATTTGTTTATTTTTTATATTAAAACAATATTGTTTTAACAATTTGCAATTGAGTTAAAATATATATATTTTTAGATATAATTATTATATAATAATTAAATCCCTTTTTTATAATGTTTATATTTTAGGACTTTCATTTTTAATTTGTATACATTTTTATTCAAGTTTTAGTTAATATTTTTCTTTTAAATAAAATAAGAGAGGTAAATATCACTTTAAAATATAAAGTACTGAGTAATATTTTATTAAAAAAAATACGACACGTGCATATCTTTTAAAAAATAGAAGAGAGTATGATTGTTGTTTTATTAAAAAAATTGTGAAAATAAAATAAGAATATAGATATTATTTAATATAGTATCAAATAGTATAATTTCCCTTAAAATAATAATCAACAAGAGAGAGGGGACAGCAACAAATAAAGGTCAATAGAGGAGCAATTTAAAAAAGTCATGAACAAGTATATTATATATATTACGAATAATTATGTTTTTTAAGATATATATGGAATAAATAATCTTGCTGAGAACAATATATTGGATTTTGCGATAACTAAAGACTAATTAACATTATTGAAACTTGAATACAATCACACAATTATAATCCTTATGAACAAATAAAAAATATGTAATTAAATATATAATTTGAGTTTAGGCAAGTGGCAATACGTAACAGTTAGGGTTATTGATTATGATGGGTGAAGTTGTTTTACCCACTGTTTCTGGTGGAATTTCGATCGATTTCGACTCTTAAGATATTTTGATCCTAATCAAAATTCTACCACGTAAGTTCTTTTTACTTAGGCTAGCAAATTAATTTTCAATCAAAATGTGTATGAGGATCGAATTTTACCCGATTTCAAAGATACTATTTTTGGTGTTTTGTATTAAGAATACTCAAAGTAAAGAAAACAGAAAATATATGGAATCGAAAAACAGTGTTGAAACTTATACTGCAAAGAAACGTAAACTACGAAAATCTTAAATTTGCCTTAAGTGTAAAAGACAGGGAATCAAAACAGCAACAATGTAAATACCGAGAAATCGAATTTGTAGAAAATGTAAAGGACAGTAAATCAAAGGTGCAATAAGTGACTGGAAATCGAAATTGCATTAATGTAAAATGACCAAGGAATTTAAACACGGAAACTTAACTTGCATTGAATCAAAATGACGAAGAAACGAAAATACAGAATCATAAAATTGCTGAATATAAATTGCATCAAACTAAATTACCAAGGGAAATAAAGAAAACGATAAAGGTACTCCGTGAGCATGGAAATCTAGATTACCAGAAGCTTCATGGTGTTCGTCGTTTCTCCGGTAGACTTTTTCACTACTAATCCTGTTCTCTGCCAATTTCCACCTCCCTGTTCCTTCCTCCTTTGCTCTATTTATAGGGCATCATTCAAGCCTTCCAGGAGCAGTTAACAAAACTGCTACCATGTTCTAAGTGCATGTTGCAGTTTATCTTCTACAGTTTCCCACGTTCTCACGATCTTCGACTTCTATTATGGTTTAGAAACTGCTTCCTATATGTGCGTTTGACTATTCTTCCTTTCACGGTTTGGCCAAAGTCTCGATGTCCACGTAGATTGGCTTTCTTCACTTTCGATTTTGTGTTTTCGAGAACTCCAAATTTCTTACGATTCTTTTTTAACCTTGACCTCATATAACTCTAATTTCTTAGTTTTTATTCGACAATAGGCATTTGGCTATCTTTCACTCGATTCTCGATTGTGCTTCTCGATGTTATGTGCTACGTACTTCTAATTAGACATCAAATGGTTTTTTGTCTATCTTATCGATTTATCAATCAGTCACATATTTTCTCGCATTTCTTTCCTTCGATTTCGATCGCTTTTTTCGATTTGACACTAATAAAATGCCCCCTTGGAAGAATATGAATAGTTTCTGTTTATATTCTTTCAATATTCCCGCCTTAGTATTTGGAGGCCCACAGAACTTAGGGTTTAGGGTTTCTGAGGTTCTAGGGTTTAAGGGATTTTTTTTTTTTGCTTTATGTCGCCGTCTCGTCAGTCTGCTGCCTTACGGTACAAGTCACATTAATTACCTTTCGCCTCCGTCGTTTCCAGCTCCCTAGGTGATTTTCCGCTTAATCTCTCCATTGGTCTTTACTCTGGTTTTCACGCGAACCTTTACCCTTTGCAACTTCATCTTCTTCCTTGAGCTCTTGTCTTCATCCCTGCGCCTTCATCTCTTACCTTGTTTTTCTTCACCCTACCAGTTACTGAAATGGCAACTTCCTCCAAATCTTCTGACTTTTCCGCTCCACCCCTTCCCTCATTGGCATCGAACCTGCTGGAGATCAACAATCAGAAGTTCGCTCCAGTTCCTCTGATGGAGGAAGCTTCTCGGAAAATTGCTGAGACGCAGGTACTTATTCCTTACACTGCTGATGGTGTTAATTACGCTTTTGGGGGTTCTCTTCGTCCTATTGATGGAACCTTTTCTCCCCTCAACTTCTCGAATAGTTCGACTCTTGTACACCAACCTGAAGTTAGGATTGATTTCTTGAACCTTGTCTCCAAGGTGTATCGGACAGACCCTCCTTCCAAAAAACCTTTGTACATTAGATGGTTTGATAGGGTTAAAGCTAAATTCGGGGATCATTGGAGAAGCGTGGGAATTTTTTATTTTTTGCACCTGTCCCGATGTGACTTATCTCATTTGGACATGGCTATGTTTTTGGCTGCCGTTCACTTGTGGAATAAGGAAATACATGCCATGGAATTACCTTGCGGTCCTCTTTCGCCTACCCTTTTTGAAGTCGCAGCCATTACTAGATTAGAACCTATAGGGGAAAGATATTTTAAAGGTGCATGTCCCTCGGATAATTCTCTAAGATCTAAAATCGATTGGGAATCGAAAGCTTATGGGCATTTCCTTGAGAAACATTTCGTCGATGATGAATCGATAACTGTAACTGATGAAGAGCATATCGCCTTTTTGGTGTATTGGTTGTGTACTCACGTTTTTTGCCCTCGATCGATCCAAATCTCCTCCCATATGTTTGACCTTGCATATCTCCTTCACCTAGGCCAACCTAGAATATGTTTGGCCAAATTTTTGCTAGCACATGTATATACTGCTTTCGACGAGGCCGTCGAAATTTTGAGTACTTTTAAAACTTCTGGAAATTTCTCTGGCCCTATTTGGTTTATACAGTTGTGGCTAAATTCGATTTTTGAGAGCATCCTTCCCCCAACTTCGGTCGTCCCCCCGAGTGTAAATATAGAAGGGGCCCGATTGTCTTCTCGTCATCATCACCAGAAGCCCGATGAAGCTGCTTATTGTAGATACCTCAACTTTTTGTTAACTAAAGTTAATTTCGATTCGACTTTGGCTCCTTTTACCGTACATCTGGGACGACTAAGTGATCAACTCAGGGGGTCAATTTGGTTTAAGTCGAAATTCCCTGCTTCAACTCCTGGGTTGCAACTAGAGTTGGTAGATGTATGGAATAACTATTTAACTCATGATATACTAGTATCGGGTTTCCAATCCAAAGATTTCAAGTTCATTACTTACTACCCTCAACTA